AAAAAAAAAAAAAAAGGAAAGAAAAGAAAAAAGAAGAACATGATTGAAAATAGTGGTACTAAATGCTGAATCAAAAGTTAATATTAACAAAATAAAAAATTACTTTACCTTGTAAACTATGTGCAGCCAAACCGATATATTTTTCCAACTCAACAGTTAGACGTCCTTCCACAACTTCGTGTTTCATAAGTGCAAAATAAATAGACCTAAACTTATATATTTCCATCACGAAAAAAAAAATTTTGTTCCTGTCTTTTTTTATTTATTTATTTATTTTTTTTTTTTTGCATCTTCTCTCTGAAATATCAAAAGCAAACGAAAATTTTATGAAATTTTTATCCCATACATCTGATCAACTAATAAGCTTGACATATATAGATAATAATAAAGTGCAAAAAAAAGATTGTTCGTCCAAACTTAATAGCTGAAAAAATTAGAAAAAACTTTTTTTGAAATAGAAACACTAAAAATTGTTTCAACCTAATCACCTTGCCGTTGGATCAGTAATACTGAATGCATTTGGTGTATGATAGAGCACAGCTAATTGTACTTGACGTGGTTTACATGCCCACTTTTCCAGTTGTTTCCTAAGTGGTTTATCCGGTTCAATCCATCTCATCAGACGATTGTCCGGATCATTGGTCTTCATTTGATACCGAAAACCAAACATGTCAACCTTCAAAAAAAAATAAAAGAAAAAATATCAAAAAAAAAACACAATAAACAGCATGTGCAATTGTTAGCAGTTATTATTTAATTAAATACTGATCATAATTTTAATAAAACTTTTTAAAGAAATAAAAAAGCTACCTTTTAAAAAATAAAATGATCATTGCAGCGAAAAGTAATACCTGATTAAGACCAAATTTTTGGCTGAGATATTCCATGCATTGCCGAGCTGTACTATCGGTTGTCAACGTACATTGATAGCAGGGATTTGGTCCAACATATACGATTAGCACATAAACATCTTGGCTTAGGTCATAACGTCCAAATTTTTTACCCCATTTTAATTTCAGTGGCATCCGCAACATAGTTTTTTGAAACCAATTTGTTGTTACTGCTGTAGTGGTTGTTGTTGTAGACTAGTCATCAGCGCATTAAGATTTTTCTTCATTTGATAAGATTTTTGCTGAAATCAACAGCAACGACATTATTTACAGCAAAAAAAAAAGAGGAAAAAAAGAGCAAAAAAAAAAAAATGAACAATTTTGAGAGGGCGCAAAAGTTTTCTTTGTAAATGTTTATGTTTGTGCAAACTTTTCAAACTTTAGTTGTACGGTGTTGCTACTGAAAACTTCATACTGATAGATTTTCTTTCTGAAGTAATGTCCATCAATAAAGAAAAACATCTTAAATAA